GGAGCAACTGCCAGAGACTGGGACCCTGTTTCTGTCCAAGACACTCCCAGGCTCCACCATGAGCTTACAGCAGACTTCTGCACAACACTAGGACCTGGTGAATATTTGTTAGAAGAATGAGACAAAACCCTCCTGTGGGGCATGGTGGCACATGCTTCTAATCCTGGCACTTGGAAGGCTGAGGCAGGAGGACCACCGTGAGTCTGGGGTTACAACCCTAGGCTACACAGCGAGCCCAGAGCCAGTTGTAACTGCATAGCGAAACCCTGTCTCAGAAAACAACTTCCCATCACACACCTGTTTGGAGAAGCAGCTCTGGTCTTCCTCCACACTAAGGAAGGAAGGGATAGTAGATGCTAAGTTACTGTGGTCAGAAGTTTTCAGTTCCACCTGTAGCTGAGTCATTTGCTGACTGAGAATAGGAGCAAGATCACTTGACCTCCAAATTTGTTTTCCCATCTGTAAATGGGAATAAATCTTGTCTTAATATAAATAAATGATTGATAATTTCACCAAAGAGTAACACCCTTAATGTCTACATAAACGTTTACACATATTTAATGAGCTACATAAATATCCCCCAAACCAATGAATGAATGCAAAAGATTTTCAGTGGCATGAAATGTTTTATTCATTGCTATTTGTATTTATTTTGGTGATCTTCTAGCTGAATAATTCTAGCACACAAGTTTTAAGAACAAAAAGGAAAGCTTAAAATTGAAATACTATGATTTTCATATGAATCAGGAATCATAGACATCATTCCACTTAGCAGATTATCCCAGTGAACTCTTCTATATGAGAAGCATGGAAATATGTTTATTAAGCAATTACTTTACTTATAAAGATATACCAGGTTTTATGGGACAATAAGGGTAAGATATAATCATCAAGACAATTTACAATCTCATCAGAAAGAAAAATGTTTATAATGTTTAGATTTTGAATTCTAAAATGTGTAGAAAAGACATGCATATTACGAGAAAAAGTGATGCTATTTTAATCTATGGAATAATTATCAGTGCAACATAAAAAGTGTACTCAGTGTAAAATAAAAATCTGTATAGGTACATGGAAAGACTTCAAAGAAGACTGACACAATGACATCATCAAACTTACATTATAGAAGTTACTTTCAGAGTAAGGCCCTGTGAAGAAATTGGAAAGACAGAGCAAGAGCCATTGTAAGAGTCTCAGCAAGAGAAGAGGCCCCAAAATAAAGTAGAAAGAAGACAATTTGAAAAATTCTTAAGCAGGGGTAAGGATATAGCTGCTCAGGGATAGATTCCTTGTCTAGCATGTATGAGATCCTGAGTTTTATTCCCAGCACAATAACAAAATAATAATAAGTCGTCAGCTGGGAGAGAGAGAATCTGCTGGTAACGTCAATACTTGAAAGGCCACGGCAGAAGGGACATGGGTTCCAGGTCAGTGCAGACAACATAATGAGCCTGTCTCAAAAGAAAATGCCCAGTACAGGAAAAAAAAAAAAAAAAAAAAAAAAAAAAAAAACTAACAGGCAGAATAATTAAGACTACACTGGGTTTGGATATTAAAGGAGGATGAAATTGTTTACCAAAGCTTCTAATGAAGGTGCCTGGACAGAAGACAGAGATTAGTTTTCATTTTTTCATTTGGTGTTATATACAAAAGACTAGGAAAAGGTATAGGGCATGAGAAGAGTAGTGAGTGGTCTGTGGACCTTAACTGGACACTAGAAACTCAAATAATGGAAAACAAAAATCTGGCAGTGGTGGGTAAAGTGTAGAGTCCCTTGTACTAAATTCACAGGGACATGGGAAACCGTGAAAAGCTATTACTAGGGAAATGACGTGACTGATGAGAACCACAGAAAATGGTTTTAGCTTCAGTGAAGCAAAACAATATTTGGAAATGGGACATCTTGATTCCTTGACAAATGCCATAATAACTATTATCATAATGGCACCAAGAAATATTTCAAAGAGAAACAGGTAAGGCAGCCACTTAAGAAAATTGTCTGTCAGTATAGGTTGAAGTGAAGGTTATAGTATTGAAATTCAAACTGACAAGTTAAAAGAGATTTTATATGCTGCATGGAAACACTGGCAGTCTTCTGTGAAAGCTTATTTTGGAAAGAACGGATTTTTTAAAGGATTTCAGAAGCAATTTGAAGCATTCGGTATTTAAATCAAAATACATCCCAATATGTACCACTTCAACCAATGAAATGGACCAGCAATTGGTCTGTCCAGGTAAATATAGCCAAAGATGACAAGAATGTCTTTAGATACACTAGTAGTATTGCCTCTGCAATAGTAGCAATACTCGTAGCTTAAATGGGTCCTTAATTTACAAGGGGCTATCACAACACAGTGCCCCAGAATGCATAGCTTAAACGACAGAAGTTCCTTTTCTTATAGCTCTGGAGACTACAGGTCTAAGACCACCGTCTAGTTTCTTCCCTCCATGGCTTACAACTGGCCATCTTCTAGTAGGTATGGCTTCATCTGGTCTGTCTTCCTTTGTCCACATACATCCCTGGTGTCTTTTGTGTGCCCAAATGCTCTTCTCTTATAAGGACACCAATCAGAGTAGATTAGAGCCCACCCCAACTGCCTCACTGAATCATATCTTTAAATGCCCCCTCTGTAAACATGGTCACATTCTGAGGTAACAGGTGTTATGGTTTCAATACATGAATTTTGAGGCTCCCATTCAACCCATGAATAGATTTCTTAGCTATAAAGAACACCAACTCTAACTTAAGTAGAAAAGGAATCTACTTGTTGAATCTTTAAGAACCTGGACAAGCAAGATTCGGAAACAAAAAAGCAAGAGAACAATGAAGATTAAAACTAAGGTTGGTATGGATCCTGCCACTGGCTCACCACCAATGGACTTATGTTATCTTCCAGCTAAACTGTGCCTAAATCTTCATTTTATTCTTCAGTTGAACTCTGTTTTAGTCTTCGTTTTATTCTTTTGAGATTAAAAATGCTTAGGCCAGTAACAGCAAACCTTTTAGAGCTTTCAAAGATAACAAACAGCCAGCTTCGGCATGCGTGCCATAGGTTCACCACCAATGCAAGACAGGAGAATCTGTTCAACCCTCAGTTATGTACCGAGCATCAGGTTCTCTGGGATACGAAACAGAAACTGCAGGCCTTTTAAAAAAGGAAACTTTAACATAATGAGTATTTCCTTCTATATACACACACAGAGGAAGGAAATTCAGATGCTGGGTAGTAAAAATAATCTATAATTTCTATTTCAGTACCAAATCTACTGCCTACTGACCCATACTCAAAAAATACATTCTAATGGACTTTAATACACATAAAGTTACCAGAATAGCTGCACCCAAAGCAGTAAATTCATAACCTTTCCACTAAATTAAGTAAATCAGCTTTGGCACTATTTTTCTTCTAATTCTTTTACGTTGGATATTTTCCTCAGGTTTGACCCTGTTCCCACTACTACCTAATGTTTCCTTTATCCTGCTACTTGGGTTTATGGCTTTTCTTTCTTGGGCATTTGAATTTTAACGACTGGACTATGCCCTCGGTTTTATTTTATGAAAGTTTAGTTCCTATTATAAAGTCAATTAAAATAAATGTAGAGAATTCTTAATCCACTTGCTATTGGAAACCATAAAAGGCATTAACCTTATTTCATAAAAGGTGAATCCAATATATGGGACTTCAGTCTTCTAGACTATGAAATAATATAAGTAAGAAGTGAGAGGACTATCAAAGTGGGTAGGTATTTTTTACTTGAGACAAAGAAGGTCATTTTCTATCTGGACTATAACTTCAGAGAATAAACACAAGCAAAGATCGGAGGGAAGCAGCAGGGAATCAAGAACTATGATAGTGGAAACTTATTACGAGACCCTAGATTCTTTTTCATGTCCTCATACGTTATGGCTTGTGTCTTGGTGTCCCCCACAAAGCTTCTTGCCCTCAAGCAAGCAGCTGAATCTAGCATTTGTGACTGGTTCACTGCCCTGAGCACTGGGATTGGTGGTGTGAGTTCCGCCCTGCCCAGGGGTGGAGTGGGCATACAATGAAAGGGTGGGAAGGAGGCCAGCTTTCCCCTTTTTGCCATTTCCCTCTCCAGACTTGCTGCTGCGATGAAAGGCTGTCCCTCAGCCACACCACCCTGCCTTGGATCCAGCTGAGTATGGACTGAAACGTCCAAAAACTGTAATCTAAATAAGCCTTTCCTTGCTTCACTTTGGGCATCAGGTATTTTGCTTCAACAACAGAAAAGTAACCAAGACACCATATTAATTACACATCATTCATTGGCGTTCTAACGTTTGATAATAACATTCTTCAAACCCTAAAAGCCTAAACTATATCTTCAGAGGCAATAACAGGGAGGCAACTAAATTCCACTCCCATGAGAAGTCTTACAAGGTTTTCAAAAAAAGAGATTATAATAGCACATGCTATAGTTTGGATATGCAATGCTCCAATGGCTCATGTGTGAAAGCAGGGCTTCCCAGGCCCCACCCTAGAGGTGCTGCAGACCAGAGGGCTGAGGTCCACCTGCATTTACAGCTGCTCCACCTTGCTCATATCAGCACCTGAGCTCAGCCTTCCATCAGATCAGTGACCCCGTCTAGAGGAGCAGGAACCCTGTGCATGTGCGGGATCTAGGTTGTGCACACCTTTGATCTTTCTGAAACTGAAACCACCACCACACCACCCTAAATCCACAGAAAAACTGCCTTCCATGAAACTGGGTCCTGGGGCAGAAATCTTGGGGAAAGGACTGGTTGCCAGCTAGGCCATGAATAGATGGTGGAACATATAACAAATGGTGTCTAGTGGAGGGAAGTTAGGTCCCCAGTGTTTAACCTGGAAGGGGAACTGGAAACCTAAAAAATTCCTCTGCTTTGCTGCTGCCCAGAGGTGAACGACCACGTTGGCCACCTCTCCCACACCCTACAGCTCCACCATGATGTACTGCACCATTCCAAGACCAAAGCAACGACGTTTTAAGTTGTTTACCTTGGTTGTTTGTCACAGAGATGGAAATTAACACAATGAGTCTTCAGGAAAGCAGGCAGCATTCTTCTGTTCTCTGACAAGAACTGCAACTAGAAGTCACTCCCCCAAGAAGAGGGAATAAAAATAAAAGAGTAGGCAGCCCACTAACATTGGACAAGAGGTCAGGCAGTTGAGTTTACATTCAAGGACAGTACACCTCAACAAACCTATACTACCAAATAGGTGGGACATTATCTTAGGTAGACAGTACTGAGCAAATAATTCCATTAATTAAGAGGGCACACAGATTCTTTCCTATGCAAATTTACTTGAAAGACCACGATCTTTTATCTAGAAAGATGATTCTTGGCCGCTTAAACAATTAGCTAACACAAATAATCAAGCTTTGTACATTTTGCAGATAGTTCGTACAAACATTATGACCCCAGTCATCATGCACTTTTCAAGCCTGACCTCCTTTTGTAACTTTAGGTGACAAACACACACAGGCTTTGAAGTCAGAGGGCCGAATTAGAATCCCTGACTCAGACTTCGACATTACTCTGGCCATCTTCTCTCCTTTTGGTGATTGATTCACCTACATAATGAGACCAGTCGCAATAACGACCTCGACGCAGCTGTGATCATTAACGAAACGTCTGTAACATGTCAAGGACTTCCTGAATTTACCAAGCGCCTAAGCTGAGCTCAAACTACGTTTGGTTCATACAAAGCACTGGTGCCTTTCACACCGCAAAAGAGCTTTTAGGAATCATCAAGCATTGCCCCAGGGTCTGAAAATAGCACAGGACCTCACACGACTTCTCAAGCCCCGCTCCCTGGACCGCCAGGCCGGCGCTGCGCAAACGAACGGAAACTTTGTGCGTCTCTTCACGACCCTTCGTAGGAACGTGAGGACGCCGCAAGACGCAGCCGGACCCGCCGGGACGGCAGCAGATGAGAACAAAGGCAACGGTGCCGCCTGGAGCTGCCGCGGCGGCTCGGCGCTCTTAGGATGGAGACAGCAGTCGACCCCGCACCGGTGGCCACGACAGCCAAGTCGCCATTCACAAAAGGGCGCGGAGGGACACGGACACGCATGCTCCCACCCGCTCGCCCAGGTGCCACTCCAGGCGGGCCGCGACCTAGAAACGGCACAGTGGGCCGGCGACATCCGGTGTGACGCGCGATCACTTTCCCACGTCCCGTCCCAGCGCCTCTCCTGGCCGGACGCGGCTGGAACGCATGCGCAGCTCCGCTTCCGGCCGCCCCGCTTTACTACCCACAATGCTCTACAACCCCGACCTGTCGCAAACGCCGCGCTTCGGCGGCGAATGAGTGACTTGCTTTCCGTGCGCTGCGGCGGCGACGGCGGTCCCGTCTTCTTCCTGTTGAGGTGCCAAATTTCCCTTCAGCATCCACCTGTCCTCAAGTCTGGCCGGTGCCACCTCTCTCCGCAATGCCCCCCAAGAAACAGGCTCAGGCCGGGGGCAGCAAAAAGGCGGAGCAGAAAAAGAAGGAGAAGATTATTGAGGTGAGTACCCGCCCCCTCCCCCACCCACGCCGCGCGCCCCTCACCCCCGCGGCTGCAGTTCGCGCCCTTGGGCCCGTGTGAAGCCCCCATTGGCCTCGGTGTGCCACACTGCCCAACCCCTGGGGACGCCCGCTGCCTCTCATCGCCATAGTGACGCCGCCGTGCGTCCCCCGCGCTCGGCCTCGCCGCCTGTCCCGTGCGAAGTGACCCCGAGTTTCTGTTTTTCGCCAGTCCTCAAAATCGGAGGTGTTTCTAGGGTTGTGTCAAAAATGCTCGGCGGGCTTGGATAAGTCTCGGAAAGACTGACTCCTCACGGGCCTTTGTTTTCCTTGTGGTGGTTTTTTCCCCTCACCTATCACCCAGGCGGAATAGTGTTAATTTTTTCTAACCAACACTTTACTGCTTTAGTGGCTTTTTTGATCCGTCTCAGAATTTTGCCCTAAACGGCGGAGATTTCTTTCACATCCCTTCCACCTTCTTATACACAGCGTTTGGTGCAGTTTGAATTAAATGAAATAACACTTTAAAAGAGATTGTTTTGTCAGTAGCTGTGTTAAGTACCGTTTCCTAGTTTCTGTGTGTGTATTTAGCACATTGAACCTGTACTCCTTTAATGGTCAAGGAACAGTATTGCCGTTTAGTGTAGTACAGCTATTTTTCAGTGTTGTGTTAGTGAGTTTAAGATAGTGAACCCATTTGACATTCTGTAAACATTCCATTGTACACTTATTTGAGATATTTCTTGGGGATTTCTGCTGTTTAATCGTCTTCGTTAAAAATACGTGATGAACTTTTGGCATAATTGGAAAGAGCTGTCACCATTTTACTACAAAAGATAACTGGTTTATGGATAGCCATTTGTGGAATACGTTTCGTTAGAACAACCAAAACAAATAGTGTTTTGAAATATTTACTACTGATTATTTAATTACAGCCTTCCAAGACGGCAGTAAAAGTCTTCAAGGTTCCATTGTACAAATCTAATCAGAACTTGGGCGAATGTCGTATGTTTTTAAGTCTGCTGATTTGATTTAAATGCTTGTAAAAGATTTTAGGAACCTTGACCACGTTTCAACTGTGAAATAGACCCTGTATTCTTACTGATAATTGCTACTGCATGTAACTCAGGCGGTGCAGTAGCCAGACATTTGAAAACAAAACGATGTTATTTTCCCATCTGTGAAAAAACCTTTCTGAACAATCTAGATTCCTGGCACAAATGAGAATTTCTGGGGGTGATAATCTGATTGCATTCTATGCTGTGTAAACCAAAGACATGTAAAAATATTTTAACAGAGTAGACCATGCGTGGTACAACGCAAAAGTTCCCGGGCCAAAAAAAAAAAAAAAATGTTAGTATGTTTTATGCATTATAGAGCTTTAGTTTAGTTGTTTTAATTGTTAATATTTAATTGTTAATATTTTTTCAGGAATGTATATATAAGTTAGTGTCCTGTGAACTCAAAATTTTAACATATGTATGGCTCCATTCATTTAGTAAACAGATTTTAAAGTCTTGTTTGTTTTTGGATTTTTTGATGCTGGACTGAACCCAGGACCTCCAGCATGCTAAGTACATGTCTACTATTAAGGTATCCCCAATGTCCAACAAATAAGATTATCTTTAAGGTAATGAAAAAAAAAACAAATTTTCATTAGCAGTGGTATCTCCAAAGGAAAATGGAAAAGAAGACAACTGCATTCTTGAACTGACAAAAGGTTAGAAGTGATGAAATTAACTTGGTATTACCAAAGCATAAAAGTTAAAGTAAAATGTTGATACATGGCCCGAAATTCTCAGTTGGTCATGATAAATAAGGTCAATAGAGCGTGTGCTTTTTGGCAGGATATGTCCCTGCGTGGGTGTAGCAGGGTGCAGACTCAGGGCCTTGTGCATCTGAGTATGCACTCTGAGCGTGCACTCTCCCTGCTCCTTTAGGTCTTTTGCATGGACTTTAAAGTACATAATTTCCCGACCTACCTGTTCCATCTTCTGTACCCTTATTGCTATCTCTGCCAGTGTTATAGGTGCTGATTGTGGAAAAGCAGTAACATGCAACTTATTACCCATTACTGGGCATCACACTTGGGACCTTCACATAGCTACATCCCCAACCCTCTTTTTATTTTTTATTGTGACACAGAGTCTCCATAAATCACTAAATTGTCCAGGCTGGGCTTTGTCACCCTCCTGCCTCAGCTTCTGTGATTCAGGCCAGTGCCACCACACAGAGCTAGGTTGTGATTTTTGAGAACTCAAGTAGAAGAAATAAAAGGATGCTTGACAGCATTATGTATTTAAGTTGGTGCTCCTGGGTTGGAGCCTCACAGGTACTCATCAATTGTACCACTACTGAGCAGTGTCCCAATTTAGAGGTGGCAATAATTTAATGAAGGGAGCCACAGCTTTGGAATCCTATAGCATGGATTTGAATCTCTCGCTTCAAATCCTAACTCTCTAGCAGTGGTGGCGTACCTGTGGCACATGTGTTGTGTTTCTCTTTAAGACAAAATTTAATGTATGAGTTGTTTTTATAAACTAAGACCTCAGTATTCAGGTTTAATTGCAGTGTTTGCACTTTGCAGTAAGTAAGTGGGTTTGGGGGTAAGTTTGGGCACTGGTCTTTAACAGGTTTGCCATCACCGTGCTATAGTTTTGAACAAATTATTTGATTTATCTAAAGTATTATTCTGATCTGCCAAGGGGAGCTGATTTCAATGTTATTACAGAACTGTGAGTTAAATAGATAATATAAAGTGCCCGCCATGTGGCATATATGTATGTATGTATATATTTGATAAGTGGCAGCTACTGTTAATACTATTAATAAGAATCTAGTTAAAAAAAACTAGGAAGAATAATTGCAGACTGGCCTGAGTTATCTGTTCTTATTAGTTCTTCTCTACTGGGAATAATTTCTTTTTTGCCTGCATTTTTTTTCTTTGAAACACTTTAGAATTTATTTGCATGTAAAAGTATTTTCCTTCTGAAGTGAATATCAAAGAAGTTATTGTTTGCTTAGCTTTTCACACATTGGTCTTAAAAAGTGTACACCACCATGCATTGTGGCCAACGTTTAATAATGAAGTCAACTTTGAGCAATAAAATATTTGGTTATAGAAAAAAATAAATAATAGGTTTAGAGCAAGTTAATAAAGGTTGTCCACCAAAGGATTTACAGCAGCAAGGAAAGAATACAATAATGGGAACCTAAAGAGGCAGGAGTCTGCTGTACAAAGGATGGAGAGAAAGAGACTGATGACTAATGGAGAACTTCAGGTAGGTCTGCTCTTGATTACTTGGAGCTGGATTAATCAGTTGCAGAGTGTCCCTCGCATAGTGGACTACAGGTGCAGTCAGCAGTGCGTTCAGGGAGATAAACGCACTTAACACGTTGCCACCCTCTCCCCACACAGTAGAAGCCAGTTTCTTGAAAAGCTGGTCAGTGCTGCCCTGTCCTTCTGCTTCCTTTTTTCCCAGCATCTTTAAGGGAGCATAAGGCATGCGGCCTGAAAAGGAGCAGGGTTACTGGAGAGTGGAATGAGGCAGAAAGGGCCAAAGTTTTTAAGTGACATTTGGCATTCACTGTGTGGTAAGGCTAGGAATCTCAGGGAGCCACTGGTTTTTTTATGGGCCGTTTTCTCAGCTTCTTTCTGTTACGATTCCCAAGTCTCCTGAAGAAGCATACAGGCTTTGAAGCGTACAAAGATAGGCTTTGCTTAGAGCCAAATATATCTTGGTCAATATCATATTTTCTGCTTTGGGGAAAGGAGAGAGAAAAGATACCTGAGTCTTGGAGCTGGGGATTTAGCTCAGTGGCATAAGCACCTGCCTTGCAAGCAGGCGGTCGTGAGTTCAATCCCCGGTACCGATTAAAAAAAAAAAAAAAAAAAAGATAACCTGAGTCATGTATAGGTGATAAATTTATATAATTCCTTTAATAAGCCATCAGATCAGTGTTATTACCCTTTTTCAGCTGAGGAAACAGATGCAGCAGATAAATAATTTGCCCAAAGTGATGAAAGTGGCAAACAGCAGAGCTGGGATTCAGACCCAGGAGATCGGGCTCCTGAGGTCTTGTCGTCAGCCACTGTGCTGTACTGCGTCCCTGTTGTGACTCCTTCAACTTTAGAAGATAAGAGTGAAACCCACTTTTCCAATAGGGAAGTCACAGCAAAGAAGATAATCCAGCTCTGTTTGGGATAGTCATGTCCAACCCACAGCCCATTGAATGAAGAGGCGTTGTCTTAAGCCACATATACAGCATAATGCAGCTAATGTAATGAGTAACAGCACTTTCATAGATGTTTCTCATTATGACAGAGCCTTGCCCAGTCCATTGGTGGTGGGTTCAACATGCCTATGAATCTTTACACTGTACAACCTGCTCCGTATTAGCAGTAGAACTTCAAAAGACTTATTCCTTCTTGCATTTCTAGACTTCATAGGAAGACAATAGTATATCATAGGACTGTTAGACTCAATAAAATACATGTTTTGTAAGTGCTAGATAAATGTCCCCTTTTAAGTTAGTATCTGAACTCTAGTTAGAGACTTTGAAAATGCTACTCATTTGTTACATCTCTTCAGACTATGCAGGTACATGCTAACATGCAGTTAAACCTGAAAGCTCTTTTGCAATCCAGAGAAGCTGCCCTTGTGAATACTTTGCCCACAGCTCAGGTCCCCCTAGGGCCTTTTTCTTTACTGAGCTTTGATCTGTCACTGTCTGCTTTACTACTTGATCTTGTTTACTCACAGTTGGCTTCTAAGGTTTTTTTTTTTTATTATTATTTAAAGAGAAAAAACAGTAAAAGGGTACAAGTAATACAGAATTTCAAGAAAAAAAATATACAGTAAGAAATCACTAGTTAATAGATTACACATTGTCATCCCAGAAACAGTTGTCCAAATTACAAAATTAAAGCATACAAAGTGGACATTCTTTGTCATTACATACGGGGCATAGGTTGAACCCCAGTCATATTCTTACCTAACAAAGCGTCTGTACACCAGCAATGCCCTTTGATCTCAGTTAGGTTTTATGTAAGTCTCCTCTCCCTCTTGTGACAGCTCGTTCCTGGTAGTAAGAAAGCATGGCCATTCATAGTCGGTTGCTGCTCTCTGCATATATCCCTGTGCTTTTTACCACCCTATGTGTGATCCCTGGGTAAAAGTGAGGGATGCGACTCACTGAAGACTTGATGCCAGCATTTCAGTTTGTAGGTACTTCTTTTTTCCATATACATATTCTACAGAAAGTTCATGTAGAATTTTGTAAAACTGTTTTGGGATATTAACACTGGTATGTAAGTAAGGGAAAGCAAAATTTTGATATATGGATGAATAATCTATGTCATAAATAGCCCTTTAGAGCCAAAACTCTCTTGAACTTTGCAATCTTAAAACAATGAAACACCTTTTATTGGTTGTGAGTTGCTATAAAGATTATGTTGTGTTGACCATTTTCAATCTTAACAATTTGCAAATTTGCTTCAGGCTAAATGCCTCTCAGAGGGTCAAAATAAAGGCATTTTTGCCTTTTTTTCCCTCTCTGAATCTACCCATCAAGAGATAGACAGACAGACAGACATTGCATTTTTAAATGAGTCGGCGTCTTGCTCTGGAGCCTCCCCTTGTGAGATGGGTGGTGAAGGGCTGAGCCCCGGCACTGACTCAGAACCAAGCCGGCAGTGCTGAGTGTCCACCAGGAGCCTGCCCGCCACTCAGATGGATTTGCTTTGAAAGTTACTGGGAAAGTCAGCAGCGGAGGACATTGGGTGACATGAAAACGAGATAAAGGGAGAAGTGGCCAGCAGTTCTTACCTAACAGTGAGGCAATTCTCCCTACAGCAGAGGCCTGCTGTTTTTTAGGAGGAGAAGCAGCAGCCAACAAATCAAGGAGCTCTGCCTCTGGAGCAGCAGGCCTGGTGGGAATGTGGAGGAGAGGGTGACGTGGGCTGTAAGTGGCCCCACAGGGTCCGTCAGGTCCACAGCCAGGCTTTCCTCCAGCTGGTGAACCTTCAAGTGCAAGTATTTGGCTTGGCAATTTGTTGTCAGCCTTGCTACCTATTCATGTGAGAGTAAAGCTCACTGTATTAGTTTCTTAGGGCTGCTGTAACACGTTCCCAAAAGCGGAGTAGATCATCCTCGCAGTGTTTAGAAAGCTGAAGTCTGAAGTTAAAATGGCAGCTGGACTGTGTCCTCTGAAGCTTTAGGGAAGAATCTTGTCTCTCTTCCTAGTTTCTTGGGGCCTGAAGCCATCCTTGATGTTCACCGGCTTTTTTTTTTTTTTTTTTTTTTTTTTTTTTTTTTTAAGAGGAAAAAGAGAAAAACACAACAAAACAAAGCAGTGTAAGGTTACACATAATACAGAACTACAAAAAAAAACATAACATAAGAAATCACCTGTTAATAGATTACATATTATCATCTTGGAAATAGTTGCTCAAATCACAGTATCAAAGAATACAAAGTAGACATTCAGAGAGACTGCAAACAGCTGTGTTCAATGATCCAAAAACATTAATATAGTCAGCTATTTAACACACCTAAACACACTTGCTGTTATATCCGTTAGAGCTCTTTTTTTTTTTTTTTTTTTTTTTCCTCCCTCTCTTGTTCACCGGCTTTTAACTGTGTCTGGTCTCCTGTCTGCTATCAGCTGTCTTCATGTTGCCTTCTCTCTGCCCCTCTGCCCTCTAATGGGGACACCAGTCACTTGATTTAGGACTCACCTTGTCTGGCGTGACTTATCTGATTACATATGCAAAGACTTGTTTACGGGTCAAGTCACATTTAAGTACAGGAGGATGTGAAACTTGGGACGAACACCATCATACTACTAGTCCTAAGCACACCTGTACACACACATACTTCCACAGTGGCTTCTCAGTATTTTGTACTGAATGTTACATATGAGTAGATAGGTAAGGATCACCATTAGTGCCTAGCACATGCCTGATACATGCTATCAAATTAGTAATTTTCCAGATTTAGATGAAGTGCTGCTTTTTTTTTTGTTAAGTTTCCATTTAGTAGTTTGGTTTATTTAGTGTAATAGTATTTTCTTCCTCTAGTATATAGTATTTATTCCCCACATTCAAACAAACAAAAATAGTTTCTTTCTTTAGCATACACTGATTGGTGTGAATTCTGAGGTAAATTTAAGATTTGAAAGTGTTGCATACTATACCCATTGTGCTGGTGGCTCTAATATCTTCTGCATAAGAATTAAGAACCTGGGTTTGGTGGTGTAGCTCAGTGGTATAGTTCTTGCCTAGCATGTGCAAGGCCCTGGGTTCAGTCTCCAGGATTATAAAAATAAATAAATAGAATGAACTAAGAATCCTTTCAAATCAACATTGTCAGAAACTAGTTTGATTATAGTGATGTTTAATGCTCTGAAGTGCACTGTGGGAAAGTAGCATCATAATAAAAGCAATAACTATTCAGTGACCTCTAAGGAGTCCTGGTGACATTTTGGGGTCATGTATTGCCTTAATTTGATGTGTAGTGTTTTACATGTCTATTTAACATGCTTACATGACATACGGAAGCTATTTTTTATACAAAAATTATTGAATGACTTCACAGTGTCACTGGGAAAATAATAATATAAATGGCTAACATACTTTCATTCTCTTTCTCATCCAGGACAAAACTTTTGGTCTAAAGAACAAGAAAGGAGCAAAGCAACAGAAGTTTATCAAGGCTGTCACTCATCAAGTTAAATTTGGTCAACAAAATCCACGTCAGGTAAGTAATGTAAATTTATTTCCTCTTACGAATGTAACAGTATGCAACATCTGCCCAAGATAGAAATGTTTGGTATTGTAATTGTATTCCACTCACCTTTCTTACCAGCATATGACTTGGATATTTTTCTATAGTTCTCATGTAGTCTGAAATTGCTGTGTGCTATTCTACAGGATGTGGGAGGTGTTACATCTCACCTGATTTACAACTCATAACTGATTACTTTGTTCTCAGCTGTATGATGCTAAGAACACTTCTACAAGAAATATCTTTGTGCATCTGTTCTTACATGTTTTTATTCTTTTATTTCTTTGCCAAAGATTATCTGCTAACAGGCTATTTTGGGATTGAGGGAAATAGATCTCTAATTTTAATAACTTTTCCAGGTCACATTTCATAGAGGCTCTAATAGTCACATTTTCATTTGCAATGTGTGAGCAGTTACTGCTGAAGTTCCTGTTAACATTTTCAAATGTGGCAGTTACATGTGGTGTCTTAGGTTGCACTGTTTCATCTTTCCATGATGCTTGTCTGTTTCTGCGTTTCTATGGCTTGGCTATTCACATCCTTTTTCACTTGTCGTCGTCTTATTAATCATGAGACATCTTTTGTTAGGATTTCATGTGCTTTTTGACGTTGCAGATATATTTTATTATTTAATGATTCTTAGTTTTTATGTCATCTAGTATATCTAGCATTCTGTTCTGTTCTTTTCTTGGTGTTGGGCTTTGAACTCAGGGTCTTGGACATGCAGTAAGCAAGCACTCTACCACTGAAATACATCCCTGGCTCTCTGTCTAGCTTGTCTTTACAGCCTTCAGTTTGTCATTTCAATGTATTTTATATACCATTAAGTTTGTTTTCTGAAGAGCCACTTGCACCAGCATCATTTGTCTCACTGAACTGAATCACACTGTCGACATGTAGCAGTCCCAGATATGTTAGGCTCTGCTTCTGGATCCTCTTTGCTTATCCATCCCTAGACTGAAGTGATTTCCTGGGAGTGGCCTACTGGGTATTAAGGCAAGTGTTCCCCAGAAGCCTTTCTTCCCTGCCCCTTGGGTTATTAAGCACCTTTTCTGCCATAAGATACTTTTTTTACCCATCCTGCCTCCTTTTCCTTAACTTGTGACAACACTTTCTTTTTAATGAAGGATAGACTAATTTCTCAAGTATTTAACTGCAAATTTTTTCCCATCTAAAAACATGGGAATGCTAGCTGACACCTCGGAAACCAGTGCTGGCAGGACGTGGCTAGGTGTAAAGGGTGGTACCCTGCCACCATGCTGCCATTGGCCCTGTGCTTAGAAGGTGACCCTGCTCTTAGGTCTTCGCCAGACGTTCCTGTCCCTCCAGGTAAGGAGTCAGTGAGACAGGAGGCTCTCTCTCCTCGGAGGGACCCAGCTTCCTTGGCAGCCCTGAGCCTGCTGTCAGGGCCTGCCGGTCTCCATGGTGGCCAGAGCCAGGCTGTGTGCTGGGGGCATGGCCAGAGTCTGGGTCTGCACCACTTCGTCCCACACCTGTCAGCCCTCACCCACTGGAGCAGGAGAGCTGCTGCGTGGCAGTGTGGACCCAGGGTGGGCTGAGCACCACGGCGTGCTCAGAGGTCCTTCAGGAGGTGCTGGCCTAGTTAGTGTGTTTGGCCATCCCTTCCCTAGATGGCCCTGCTGTCTTCTGATTTTTGTGATAAGCACCAGTGGATGTTCTTGCATAGGTTATTTAGGTCCTATTGACTCACTTAATACTGATCTGAAACTAACTCTTCAAGGAATTAGCTTCTGTTCTTGGCACTTTTTATGCTGTCCTTTAGTAATCTTACATTCTCACCCCAAAGTCTAATCAATGATTGTCTGTAAACTGCTGTTTTTAAACGTTTTATCTGGGACCAGAGCCTGCCACCAGGTTTCAGTGGTATTGGTACCCGTGTGCACCGAGGCTGCCTGGTGAATAGCTCCACCCAAGCGCTCTGCAGACATTTCATTCTCCTTACATCCAAAACTGAGCTCATTTCTGCTCCTGCTCTCAAACCTGTTCCTCCTGTACGCCCGGTCCTGTTTAGCAGCACTGATCGTGCATGCAGTAACTCTAGCTTTGCCCTTCTCCACTGCTTAGTCCTATCGCTTAGAGCTGTCTCTTTCCATCCTCACTACTAGTGCTTATTTTAGCTCTTGTGTTTGGTGCGTACAGCACTTGGCCTTTATTCTTGGTTCATAGTCTGCCTTCCACAGAGCTGCTGTCTTAATCTTTATAAAATCAAACTAGCCTAGGGTTTCTCCTCAGAAGCACTCCAGTTAATTTAGGATGTACAGTCACTGTTGTATGGAACTGTACGTTTCCAGATGTTTCTCATCTTCAAAATGTATCTATATGTTTTTAGGAATAGATTGTTCTCCCAGGAAAAGTATCTCAAGAACCATTTGCTGAACATGCTGTCACTTGCTTCCTCCAGACCATTGGTTGAGCCCTGTTACCTAATTATGCAGACTGACCTTCTCGAGGTTTCCTCTAGACCTTGTGTCTGCCCTGGCTGGCTCTGTCTCGTTCCTTTATTGCTCCCGAGAGCTCATCCATTGGTTATCAGCTCAATCTGATTTTCTTAGTCATGTAGGCTTTCTTTGTTGCCAGAGCACCATGTAAGTTTATATTACAGTTGTTGACATGTCTGTCTTCCCACTGGATTCTGAGCTTCTTTAAATAAGCATCTTTGTCTTTTCATCTTATTCCCTGTCGTCTAACCCAGGACCTGACATATTTATGTGTGGATGAATCATCTAATCACCTTAGGTGTGTAAATGGCCTAGAACTATCCACTATGTTTTCATTAGTTGATAATCTCAGGCATCGATCTAGCGAACTGTTTCTCCTCAGAAGCACTCCAGTTTATTTTGGATGGTACAGTCACTGCTGTATGGAACTCCAGGTGTTTCTCATCTGTATTTCTCAAGCTGTATCTGTGTATTTCTAGGGAATAGATTTGTTTTCACAGGAAAAGTATCTCAAGAACCATTTGCTAAAATGTTGAACGTGTACTAAATACTTCATAAGTGTTTGTTGCCATAAACTTTTGATTGTGCTTTTAAATAAGCATGGTACCGTTTGTAGACAAAAAAGAATTCATATGGTTTAGCCGTTTGTTTAATAGTTTAACCAAAACATTTAATATGTACCACACAGCATAGTCTTAAGAGTTAAGGACTACGTATAAAAATAAGAATTTGTGTTTGCCCTAGTAGTGATTACTGTGTAATAAAAACAATTTTGTAAACAATTTTACATGTTAAATCTGGAATATTACAGGTAGCACAAAGTGAAGCTGAAAAGAAATTGAAGAAAGATGACAAGAAGAAAGAATTGCAGGAGCTAAATGAGCTCTTCAAACCTGTTGTCGCGGCTCAAAAAATAAGTAAAGGTAAAATTCAGGTATCGATGGTGGTGGTGCTTTCAGATGTGATTCATGTTTAAAACTTGATTTGTTTTGATGTTTATTAGCTAGGCCATTGTACAATCTCAGTCCCAGCCCCAGCACAATTTAGACAGTCTCCTAGTGGATTTTTGTTTGTTTGTTTGTTTGTTTTTTGGCTTTTTCATTTTTATCGGTACCAGGGATCAAACTCACGACCACCTGCTTGCCAGGCAGATGCTTATGCCGCTGAGCTAAACCCCCATAACACTCAGTCTCAGTAGTAGTCACAAATTTTGGGCTGTATGCCTCCATTTATCTTTGTGCCTCATGCCTCTTTGGCTTCTACTGGACTAGCGCCTGTGGGGTAACCCTTGTGTGCGGTTTCCCATGCCCTGCCACCTTCTGTGGTAAGAATAACAGAAACAAAAATAGATGTGAAATGTGAGAGAAAGAACGTTAAAGAAATGTCTTTCTGGCGCCTGTAAGTGGTATTTCCTCTCACGTCCATCAGTGGGAAATAGTAAGGAGATAACTGTACTGCAGGTACAAGCCTCGTGGTATTTGGAGATTGTAACACAGATCCCCACACTGTTGGCACAGGTGCAGACCCCAAGTCCGTGGTGTGTGCCTTCTTCAAGCAGGGCCAGTGCACGAAGGGCGACAAGTGCAAGTTTTCCCACGACCTGACTTTGGAGAGAAAATGTGAAAAACGAAGTGTTTACATTGATGCAAGAGATGAAGAACTTGAAAAAGGTATTTTTTTAAATTTTCTTAAAATAGCTCTTACTTTTGACTTGTTACTAATATGTAATAACTTGGAAAACGTTTAGCCTTACTAATATCACATTCATAAAGAATAATTAGTTGGATTTGCTATTTTTCACAAAAATCTGAATTTCCCTTCTTACGCCTTATATGAATATGCTTAAAAAACAGTGATTTTTAATTTAGTCCATGTTTGCAGTACATAATGATTACATCTTCATGGGGGGGTTGGTACATGTGTGTAACACCTCTTCTCTTTTAATTCTCCTCCGATTTATTTTAGATTCATCTGTTACTCTTCAGTACTTTCTTGTTTTCCTAGACTACCTGTACTTAGGAAGCTGTGTTGAATAATATCAGTATAATGCATGCTTGCCTTTGGTTTTAAAGATTGTGTCTTAGCTAGGTCAGAGACTTACACTACGGTATTCCTGTCTGCTTGAAAAGGTTAGTGTGGAGGCATAGTAGACACAATTATTTAACTCTCTTTCTCTATTTAGATACAATGGATAATTGGGATGAGAAAAAGCTCGAAGAAGTAGTGAACAAGAAGCACGGTGAGGCGGAAAAGAAAAAACCAAAAACTCAAATAGTATGTCCTTTTCTTGAATTGAGTTGCTGTGGTATTTATTATTAGGGCAAATTATATGGCAAGGTATTTGCTGCTGTTTTCTACTGGATTATTCTCTAGGGTATTAGAAATTTTTACTTTGTCAGTGTATAGTACATCAGGCTTTATTGTTGGAATTTACAGGCTCTGTTTTACAAAATTAGTTGTTGAGAAATAGCCTTTGAAAACCATGTGACTTAAGTTCTTTAAATGCCGTTTCCTGGTGTGTTCTTACTTTATGAATATGAATGAACACAGTCATGTTCAGATAAGAATTATTTCCTTGTTACAATTACAAATAGAAGGAAACCTATTAGAACAACTCAATAATGGGTTTGATTTTTAACATTGATGAGATATTTTTTAGTTACAACTTAAAAATACTAACATGTAAATTCCCAAATGAAATTTTGATAATATAGTGTTATAGAAAACGTACCTTGAAAATTTGGTGACGACTTTGTGAGACTATAGTAAAAAAATCTCACTTTGTAGAGAAATTGTAAGTCCCAGATTCGCAACTCAGTGGGAGTATACTGGATACTGTGTTGGATGATTTTTCCTTTTGTGCGAAGGCCCCTGTCCTTTGTGTTCTTGGGAACTGTGTTCACTTGTGACTCAGATGTGAAAAGTTTGCCTGTAGAGTCAGGTGGTAACATAATGTTGGTGTTCCTACTGCATGTTAGTTTTTAGGAAAGATCACAACAAGATTGTGGTTTCATATTTTACAACCAGTTAATATATGCTGATTTACCTAAACTTTACACTTTTAAATTTACACTTTACACTTTTAAATTTACACTTTACAATTTCATTTACAATGAAATTTCAATTACATTTTCAAGTACTAAAACAGGTGTAATTCAGAAAATAGGATAGTGATAAATAGCTTTACGAAGCTCATATGCAAGAAAATTTACCACTTTATTAAGATTTTAAGATGTGTGTGGTACATTTCTTCACGTGAGAGTGTCTGCCCCTCCGTGATCAGCCCCTGGATGTGGGTGGTGTGTGCTCGTTTGCCTTTCAGCATGTGCCCTGGAACAGGCTGTGCTGAGACCTGGTTTTTGAATGACACTGTCTCTGCAGGTCTGCAAGCATTTCCTTGAAGCTATTGAAAATAACAAGTATGGCTGGTTTTGGGTATGCCCTGGAGGGGGTGATAATTGTATGTATCGGCATGCACTTCCTCCTGGATTTGTGTTGAAAAAAGATAAAAAGAAAGAAGAGAAAGAAGATGAAATTTCGTTAGAAGATCTCATTGAAAGAGAGGTAACTGGTGTGTTTTTCCTACTATCAAAAGCAGAAAGCTGTATTTCCTGTGAATTCTGATACTTACCACATGGGGGCAGTAGCATGTCGTTGTGAAAGGGAAAAATGTATTGTGATCTTTTCCCAAAGTTGCTCGATTTAATTCTTTTTCTATGTCTAAATGTAAATTGAGCCATGAACATTAGTGAATCATAATTTTAGGGTCATGTAGTAACTTTAAAGAATTCAGTACCAATTTACCAACTTCTTCCCCGGGGTTGTGTTCTTTGACATGCACAGTCCGCAGATTGCTAAGAAATAACTTTTTCTTAGGTCCTTTTCTTATCCTTTTCTCCCTGCCACCATACTAATCACTAATGATGTACGGAGGAGACAGCTGCCCTGCACTTAGATGTTATCACCCTTGGACTCAAAACACTTCCTGCGAGAGGGCAGCTCGTGTAACAGAAGAGAATCCTGAAAGCCTGGTGTGGTAGCACACACCTGTGGTCTTGGCACAGAGGGGCCAAGGCCACCTGGGCTGCATAGTGAGACCAGGTCTCAAAAAAAGAGGAGCTAGAGCTGGGCCTGGTGGTGCATGCCTGTAATCCCAGCTCTCGAGGCTGAGGCAGGAGTATTGCGAGTTTGAGACCAGCTTGGGCTGCAGAGTGAGCTCAAGGCCAGCCTGAACTGCACAGCAAGACCCTGTCTCAAAAAAAAAAGAGGCTGTTTAGCTATACTTTTTCTAGCTCAGCCAAAAGATAGTTTTACTCTGTAAATTAACACATATGGCTACTGATACGGCAACATGAAGTTGATGAGGTTATTGAAAATAGCTAGATTTAGAGTTTTGTATTTAGAACTGCATATATATTTACCTCACCTTAAATAGTGAGTGCGTTGGGCCAGGGATTTAGCTCAGTGGCTCAAGTGCTTGCCTGGTTGTGAGTTTAATCCCCAGTACCAAAAAAATGAGTGCTTTGTGTAAGTCCGTGATGATGGTAATATGTGCATTTATTCTTTCTCTCATTACGTGCTATTTGTTGTTACATGTGTGCAGTGCAGGCTGCATTCATCACAGAGCGTGTGTCCGTGTGCATAGCCCTCTCCCGAGGTCGTCCCCCCCCCCATCTTGATCCCCTTTGCATGTGAAAATGCTCCATTTATCTATCCCTTGGTTTGCTTGCTCTTTACCCTGTGGGTTTCTCATGGATGTCTCCATGAGACACCAATTCTTGATGTCTCACCAGGTTATGATACAGTGCACTGTTTTAAAAAGTCAACACTAGAGAACTGGGTGTATCTTTAGTAAGTTCCGTGTCACCATGTCTGTGGAGATTAGTGTACCCGCGTGTAGGTATAAAGCTTTCATCACCGTGTACCTGGCCAGTGTGCAGCAGGTATTACTTTCCTGAGTGCTTACTATTCACTGTTGCTTCCAGGAACGCATGGTGTGCTTTTGTTCTCATCTCTGAGGGTCACAAAGGAAACTTGGATATTGTTAAGAGAGTATTTAGTTTTTATTGTTTTCAGTGGTCGGTTCCTGTTTGAACAATTTTTCTTGACTAATTTTAGTACTCAGGTTAAACACTAAGAAGAAAAGGTGGCTCAGAATAGTTGATTACAAGTTCTGGACCCTCTGTTTACTCACTGTGGCCTCAGGGCAGTGTTCCCTGCCCCACCTTTGCAGTCCCAGGCTGGGGTCAGTGGCATTGGGGGAGCTGCCGTGAAGCACTGTGTGGTGACTCGAATGTGCTCTTCCCTTGCAGCGTTCTGCTCTGGGCCCGAATGTTACCAAAATCACTCTAGAGTCTTTTCTTGCGTGGAAGAAAAGGAAAAGACAAGAAAAGATTGACAAACTTGAGCAAGACATGGAAAGAAGGAAAGCTGACTTCAAAGCGGGAAAGGCGCTGGTGGTAAGCCCCGAGCCTCGCGGCCACCCTGAGGCTTTGTTCGTTTTGTGGTGCCTGTCGTGCAGGGTCGCATCCCATGTAAGCGTCTGTGTTCCTAAAATCAGTGTCCAGCAGGGTTGGAAGCCTTTCCTGAGTTGTGTGTGTGTCTGAACAGATCAGTGGCCGAGAGGTGTTTGAATTCCGCCCTGAACTGGTCAATGACGACGATGAGGAAGCTGACGACACGCGCTACACTCAGGGAGCAGGTGGCGACGAGGTAAGGGACGCTTTGGCCACGGCCTGGTGTTCAGTGACAGGAAGCCACTCACGTCATTCCCTCCTCGAGAAACAGCTCTCGGCAGCGGCGAGGACTTAATGGTATTCACTCCAGCACAGGGTGCTTGTGAGAGTTGAAGGAGACCATGTTATACTTGTTCACAGTTCTTTGTGGAACTTAGAACACTGCCTGCATATACAAAGTGCTATGTGTGTTAGCTGTAAAAACTGTTTTACCCCCCTCTGAGATAAAGAAAGTTCTCGATCACTGTGTTGTGCTGAAGGTAACCAGCATGGCATGGAACCGCAGAGACCACAGCAGAGCGCTTGGTTGTAGGCAGTGTTGCTACTAACAGGTAACTTACCATTCAGTAGTTGTCATAAGATGCTTAATTGAAAGAGTGTCATCCTCCTTGTAAAAATGAGATGTCAGTGCAAGGAACTTTTATAAGGAACTTAGAAAAACATGAATTTTAACAGCTGACCATTTGTTTTCACTTAGCATTAGACTGTTTTGTTTCCGTTAAGACAAGTGTTGGTAAAACTAATTTGTGGAAACTGTTCTTAATTGTGACAACTGTGTGTTCTATTTATTATTGAAGGTTGATGATTCCATGAGCGTAAATGACATAGACCTAAGCCTGTACATCCCAAGAGATGTAGATGAGACAGGCATTACTGTAGCCAGTCTTGAAAGATTCAGCATATACGCTCCAGATAAGGACGGTGAGTATGCTGCCCTGCAGTTTCTGAGGCATAGCAGGTTCCTGAGGGGACCGGGCATGGCGGATTCAGGTGTGTGCAGGGATGGGACTGTAACATACAGATGCGGTTTGGCCCTGGATAAAGCACTGACAGTACATGCTGTTCACACGAGTGAGTGTGTGGACACTCACTAACTAGAAAGAGGACCAGAGACAAGTCTGGAGTGTTAGTGCTGAGTCAGAGGGGACCTCGTGAGCCTGAGATACAGAGCAGCCCTGGAGGACACTGCACAGCCACTCGCTACGTAAGAAAACAACTTGCACATAATCTGTGCTGGTCTCAGAGTGATTCTAGAATGCTGCAAATGCCAGTGTTTTCGTTTGAGCAAAACAAAACAAGCTGTTGGTTGTTTTGTAACAAGCAGTTAGGGGAGGAGTGCAGGGATCAGGTGCCAGTTTCCAGCAGGACTGCAGTGCTGGGCAGGGCGAGGGGAAGTGAGTAAGGCCTTCTCTCACTTAGGCGAGGGGCAGATGTGGAAAACCTGAATGTATGGATATGTAGGCGGAGAGGGTCTGGTAAAGGAAGGATGGCTGAGAAAGGAAAGAGGTGGATTTAAAAAGCAAGACCTGCAAGTATAAATAGTGATTCGGAGTGAGTCGGGGAGGTTGTCCGGGTGTGTTTGGAGATAAGGGTTGTTGGTATAATTGTGTCTAATTATACCTCGAGTGAGGGGTGTGAAGACGTGAAAAGTTCAGCGTGTTTGCCGTGGGGAAAAAGGCAGGAGTGCCAATTAAGGCAGAGGCTGAGAGAAAGCCTAGACCTTATTTTTACAACACCAGGATGCAAGTTTTAACTTGAAAGCTGGCCTCCCTGCTGGGCTGCTTTTAGGAAACTTGAGTGGCAGGAGACACAGATGCAAATACACTAAAAACTTTCACCAGCATTTTTCATCAGAAATATTGCAGTAGCTAAAAATCTAAAGCTGTTAAAACCCAGTCTTCTTTCTGCTGAGCGAGGGCTCTGCCCTGGAGTCTCGCCTATCCCCCACTCCTTGCCCCTCACCCCTCGTCCTCCCAGAGGCACCCTTTACAGTGAGCTCCCCAGTGAAGGCGTAGTTGCTTTCACACTCACAGGTGTATTTCCGGTGTCATTTAATTACTACTATTTGCAAAACCAAAAGTCAGGTCACTGCTTACATAGCTTTTTGCTCCATAACCATTTATTCAAGCAGCACACTCTGGAAGTTGACTGTGTAAACACCGGGTGATGAGGTTACGTAGGTTACGTGGGGAGCGTGGAGTTGTAGAGATTTCACCCTGTCAGGCCTCCAGAGTGTAAACTGGTAGTCAGATGCCTGCGGTGCGTGTCTCTCAAGGGGACAGATGCTAGCAAGAAGTGTCTTCGTGCTCTAGGCCTCACTGATTGCACTTTTTGTTTTTAGAAAATAAACTCAGCGAAGCTTCTGGAGGTCGGGCTGAAAATGGCGAACGCAGTGACTTGGAGGAGGGCAGTGAAGCGGGTGGACCAGAAAACGGAGCCCTCGGAGCTGTTCCTGTGGACGAGAACCTTTTCACTGGGGAGGATCTGGATGAACTGGAAGAAGAACTAAACACACTCGATCTAGAAGAATGACACCAGACATGTCAAGGAAGAGATGAGTCGGCTCCGCTGGAGCTGAAATTGACTGCACTCATTTTTCACCTAGAATCAACAGGATGTTCGTTTCTCATGATTCTAGAGGGTTTGCTCTCCTCTGACACAGGAGTGTTCGCCCTCCCTGCGTCTTCTCCTCTGACTTTGGCTCCATCTCATAGTAAGTTCATAGTAGTTCATGAAATATTGAAATATAAAGGTCATTGCAGAAAATGATTGTTGTACCTGTCCACTCAATAGGAAGTGTAACTGCTTTTCCAGCTTTCGGTTTCCATTGGGCATGTGTTACTACCAACAACGAGAGTCTACACTTAAAGACCCTTAATTTGATGCAGTTTTCAAAGAGTGATTTTCTTTCTTTTGGTATTTATATGGTTTAAAGACTGCCTAGAATGTGAGCACTGTGCTGTAGAAAGGAAACTGCACATGCAGATTCAGTGTTGTGTATCTTTGGACAACTTGATGGACATTTAAAATGGAACATGAACCCAACGGGATCAACTACAGTGCCCTGTGTTTTCCCTCTTCTTTTTTGCCAATAAAGTTGTAAATAAAGAACATCATACATTAAAACCTAAACGTGAGCTGTTCTTGTTTTCTCTGAAAGCACTTTTAACACTTCGAGCCTGAAGGTATTAATTATCTGTAATAGTGTCACACAAAGCAGTTATTGCCAGGTTTTCTTATTGAACCACGTGGACCATCAACAGTACTAACAGTGAGTTTAGTAACTTAATTTTTAGCTTCCAAAAAAGAACACAAGTGACCTTAAAGAGTAATTTAAATCAATACATTATTGACCTAATTAAATATTACCTACAGTCCAATCAAATACTACTGATTCAGGATTGTGAGCTCTGTGGTGTTACAGTAGTACATACTAAAGTTTTACTCTGTTTTGGGGAGCGTACACGAATTTACCACAAAATTTGGATGAGGGTCTTTGCCACATAAGTACCCTGAAAAACTAGATTAAGACATTTTTAATTGGGTGCAGTTTATTAGTGACATTGTTAGTGCTGTACAACTTTTTACAGCACTGCATTGTGTTATTTTGCAAATATAAGTTAATGTCGAAGGCAGCTACAGTAATGACAGCTGCACAGTGACAGGTAACCTGGGCCCTAAGTTTCATTCTGCCCAGGAGAATTGTATGATTTTTAAATCCAAACTTTTGTTTCCATATTTGCATCTAAAAGTTAAATGATTCTAAATTGTTTAACTGAAGAAAACCCAATTGTAAATACTACCAAATGGTAACATCTAAGTTGATAAACCTACTTTCTGGCTGTTCAATACTAACACTATCATTAACATTTCAAGCCAAGTTTATTTCCCATCTACATTGTAATTATATTTAAATACTTTATATTAAAAATGCTTCTTGAGTTTTATATAGTTTAGCCATAAAAGATGTTTTCCATTCTTTTTGTGGGAAACTTTAACTTTATTGTACTATTTCTAAACATTTTCATGATTGTCTAAACCACTTGAGTCTTTTAAAAGCCAATAACCCATGCTGTCAATTTTTTTCCATTTTTGGAACCATTTTAAATTTTTTTCTAAGAAACTATCTTATAAGTAAAAATTAGGCTTCATTTTTTATAATTCTAAGTTGTTGGCCCTTTAAAATTTTTCTTCCATATATAAGAACTTTATAAACAAAAATACACTAAAGACTGTTAGGTATTTAAATCATTATTAAAACAGTATAGTAAGTGAGTCACTTATGTATCTTATGGCTTCTTCTATTATAAAAGACATGCTCAGAAAATGCAGAAGCATTTCATTGGAAAATTAAATCGCAAAATTAAGTCTGCTTGTAAATTACAGTTTATTTTAGGGGCCAGTAGAATTGCTTAATATTACAGTGCTTGACATGTCTAGATATATATCTGCAAGAACTTCTCTGAGGCATGTACTTTAAAATTTATTTAATTTTTGATGGAGATTTAGCTGCTCAAAGGCTCAATCTCTTGCCTGGTAAGTGCAGAGTCATGAGTTCGATCCCCAGTACCAAAAAATAATTTTTGCATTCATGGGACAGTTCTGTATTATTATACTTAATATGAAATGGACTGAGTTTTTTTTTTTTTCACACCCATTTATTCAAAACCTTAATTTTAAATCATTTTTCTTTTAGATTTGTCTTTTGTATAATTCCTACTATGATTATTTCTTTGGAGCACATTGGAGGCTGAGGCAGGAGGACTGCAAATTCAAGTCCCACTTGGATAACTTAGTAAGACCCTGCTTCAAGACAAAAAGAGCTGGGGATGTAGCTCAGTGTGAAGGCCCTGAGTTCAATGCTGAGTACCGCAAAATAAACAGAAATTTGTGTGTGTATGTAAAAGTAATGTCAATATTATAACTTAGTCTCACTTTAAATGTCTGTGGTTTATGAAATCAGAAACTTATAATGTAACCTTTCTACAAAAGAAATTTGGCTTGTACTTAAACCTATTTATATTCTGTGAAACGCAGTCATTTTCCACAAACACAAGAACTTTGTTTTCTCCTGTCAGAAGACAGCCTACATCATTTCTGTATCCTGAACTCAACTGTTACAGCCACAATGGTTAACTGCTGTCCAGAATCTGATTCCAAACGGCTACATGGTGAATTTCACATATCCCGTCAGACATGGACTGATGCAGATCATGCAGTTGTGCAGTGTAGTTTTGATATTTGAACTAGTCAACTTGGACTCTGACCATTAGGTGAGGGGGAAGTAATAGTGAGGAAACAAGGATCAGACCTTTAAATGCAGCAGAACATCAGACAGGCCTCGAGTCCATCCCAGCACTCAGAGCACGCGGTTAACTGTGGTGCCGCTGCATAAATTCACCTCCTGTTCGGAACAAGGAACTGCCTGCAGTTGAAGCTTCACTGTCTCTGAGGTATAGAACTGGTCCTGATGCAGACACCCCGTGCCATCATTGCTGCACAGTTTCTGCTGTGCACACACAGATCCGTGTTTCCGTGAATGAATTTCAGGTCTTACCAGGTGAGGATGAACTCCTCAAGTCTGCCTGATTTCTAAGGCACAGGTTCTATCACTGTAGCAATGCTTTCTGAGCAGTGATGGCAAGCTCATCCTCAGTACACATTAACTGGAAGCTAAATGTAATTAGAATGTAGCAACACTGATGGGCCCTGCAAATTTTTATATTCTCCAGACGCAAACCTGAGTGAGATGTCCCAAAAAAAAAAAAAACACCCTTTTTCGTATTCTTGCCGCCCCTTTTTTAAATGTTATTGTTTGCATTTGTTAAAGTGGAGAGAAAAGGCAGTTTTGTTGTCATTCATTAAGTTAGTAGATGCTTTGTACTTTCTTACACAAAGGAGCCTTCTGTTGGGCATTATAGATAGGGTGAGCTGACACAGTTTAAGACATAGTCTCTGAGTGATTTAAGTTTACATTGTTTGATGGGGAAATCATAGTCGTGCAAGACAAAAGTAGTGCCTAACCATTAACAGGGCTACTTCTGCAGACTGCAGGCAAACTTTTCAGTTATTTTGCCCTCAGGTTTTTGGTTTTTGGTTTTTTTGGAGGAGTGATTGTTTTTTTAAATAAAGATGTCCTTTGAAAAATTTTGTGATGTAAATTTTTCAGGCCAGGGTAGTTATTTTGTGCTTGATCTCCAGAGTTACATTTTGTAGCAGGTGATCTGATTTGCAAAAGGATGTCAGTAAAAGTACTCCCCAGAATGGAGATGTGGCCCAGTGGTAGAGCTCTTGCCTTATATGCACAAGGCCCTGGGTTCAATTCCCAGCACCACAAAAAAAAACCTTAAAAAGAAAAAAAAAATTACTCTTCCTGGGGCTTAAGTGCAAGGAGTTAAGTTTCCTTAACTCTGCCTAATTAGCTGTCATACTTAATTCAAAAGATAATAAACACTTAGCATTTTTCTTGCCAGTTAATCTGGGAAAAAATCATACACCAGTATTCTCGGTTACTTATACACCAGTATTTTCAAAGGCCCGGACATCGTTTTCCCTCCAGTAGAGCCGCTTTGTTGTGTTCCTGCTGCGAATCCTTTAAATTGTAATTTTACCTATTCTGTCAAATTGTTTTCGTGACAGTGATCGTCAGTAAACTACATTTTTAGAATTATATACATTACTATATTTGGTAGATACTTATTTCAAATAATCTTGTTTATACCTTTACAACATGTGTTAAAGAATGTATAATTGAAAGTAAGTAACAAAGTGTAGCATAATATCGAAATTCTGTGGCTTTCATGATTGCGTATTGTATGCATTGTATGTGTTTTGCTTAAAATTAGAGTTCAATGTGGAAGAAATAGAACCCACCATGTAAGGAATGTTTATCCTTGAATTTTTATGCAATGCTGATTAGATAATAGAAGTAAATACCTTTGTATCTGATCCTTTTTTGAAGGTTAATTCTGTGATTGAAAAGCCAGCTAATTTATGAAGACCTGTGGCCTATCACATCTGATTAACGGTAGTGGTTTAACTCCACGTAGACTCTTTCCTTCTGATACACTCTTCTTGCACGTCTGACCTATTACCCACCACAGAAGGAAAAGTAAACATTTAATTAACGTTTTCTTTTTTAGTGTATTTTTAATTAACAAGTAGTAGTTGTGTATAGCTGCACTTAATTAACTTTTTCATGCATTGACTCACTTCCCACCCCTACAGGGAAGACATTTAATCATCAGTCTTTCCTGATAGAAAAAGTAGAGCTGAGAAACAACTGCGTGATCTAGTGCTTTAGAAGTCAAGTGGAGATACGTTGGCATCTTTCTATGCCTGAGTTCCAGCTCTTAAGAGTCGTAAATACCTGATGTACGGTACGGTCTCACTGCTCGCACTTCCCGGACAGGACTGGATGGCGTGAATGTTTTCGAAAGATCATCCGTCTTTTTCATGTCTTCTCTTTGATAGTTGAAGATCAAAAGACCAAATGCAAAAGTGACTGTCAACATGTCCAGAGGCAAACAGCAAAAGCAGAGGGAAAGAACAGAAACGAGCCAGTAGGCTTTCAGGGGTGTGGACAGCGTACATACACTGCTAACAGGTTTATTCCTGCACACTGCTGCTGACAGGTCTGTTCCTGAACTGAGCTTCTTCTGTCTGATTTAATTGCAGAAGTCGGGGAGTGTTCTACGGCCTGTGGAAATGAAACTAGGCCCTTCTTGAAAAATAAGACAGTATTTTGCCATTTATTGCGCAGTGGCGTTCTCATGGAGGTTTGGGCCACAGTTTTAAGTAAAACTAATTTCTTTAAATTGTGAGCTTATGGAGTGAGCAGTCAAGATCAAAACGTGTTTTCAAGTAATGCAAGTCTCAAAGAGTTGTCTATATATAATCAACATAGGTTATCACTCAATTCCTCCGATAAAATCAAATAGGTTCTCATTCTCATAGAGCTTAAATAAACTTCAACCACTTTATTAATGTGTAATTGACATAGAAAGCATTAATTTCTGACAAATATATGTACCTCTGAAAGCATAATATAATCAAAATAAAATATACATACTCATCCCCCCACAGTATTCCTCAACCCCTTTGTAATTCTGTCCCCCTGAAGCAAACACTTG